CATATCAATTCGGAGCTACTTCGGCTGGACACGCGGCACCTTGCTGAGGAGTAGGTGCGATGCGCCGAGGTGGGTTAGTGAGGAGCGTAACACAATATATCGCACACAACTTTTGCAACTTTCAAATAAGGAGATTTGATTACTGTGCACTGTCAATATGTGTACAAATTTATTGTTGACAAGACAATTACAGACCAGTCACATGGAGTGGATGAGGAGTATTTTTTCCAATTTTTTACATGGGACTCACATCCCATGTGAGTGCGCAGGCCCCATTTCACAAGGGACTTCTCACACGAGGTGAGTCCCATGCCTCATTAAAAAAATACTTCAAAAATGTCCATCCCTGTGTTTGTGAGGAACCCGTGGGAATTCTGTGAACCCATCTGCTCTCTTTCACTGTTTAGAAGAAGAAGAGGAGGAATAGACCATCAAGCTTTCATGCTACGACCTATTTGTTTGTTTTACTAGTCAAATCAAATTCAATTGATAAAAGTCAAACAAAGCTTAAATTAAGTAAATAATTTTAAAGGACCATTTTATTACTATATTAAAATTAAAGATTATATTATAAAATTAAGAATTTAAGAATTCAAGGAAATGATATAACTAAGAACATCTTCAATTTCAAGAGTAAGAAAAAATCTACTTATCAACTAGTTGTATCAAATTTTAGAGGCTTCTACATAAAAATTATATAGTATGAGCCCCATGTGCATTTTTTATTCGGGTTGTATGATTATGTACACCAAAACATTTCCTTTTGATTCACTCTACAATTACGGTGTTCTTCATCAACAACAAAAAGGGTACAATTTTTGAGTTTGTAAAGTGAGTAGTTTGCTTCTGACGAAAATTATAATAATTTTTGATATCAGTGGCAAATTTAGGGGGTTGGCCTGGATTTAGTCCATTCCTGGATCTGCAGCTGAGGCATTCATCCTATATTGAAGTGGCACTCAAGCATTCTTCTTTAAACGTAAAGTGAGAGCTTGACAGGAAAAGGTGAAGAGTTTTCCTTCAATTACTAGAATAAATTCTAAAATTACTTGTTAACAGTATCTAATTGCTTCTACAATATTGCTTTTACAAAAGATGGAATTGGTATTGAGGCTCAAGCGAGAAAAATTCAAGCAACGGCCGACTATGAGTTCAAGAGTTCTTGAACATTTCCCACTCGCCACAACGAACACGAACGGTCACCTCATACGAGAGGCAGCACTCGGAGCTTTTGCTGCTGCACGGACAATTGTTCGGTTCTCTTTCCTTCCATTGATATGCAATTTAGGGGACTTCGCTTTTGTAACTTCTTTACCGGACCTTTTTGTTTGTACCAAAAGATGTATCAACAAACAGCCAAGATAAAAAATGAAAACATTACTAACAAGTGAGAGTAAGTTTATCATACTTATGTGGTAAGAAGGGATTATCAAACTTAGGCACTGGTCTTGCATGGGGAACCAAAGTTCGTCGTAATTGTTTCAATGCCTTCTCTTCTTCCATCTGTAATTGAAGATTTTATATAGATGACTTTTTTCAAATCATACTCTGGGTGGGTCAAAAGTAAACAAATAATGAAGGTTTCTGAAATGGCAATAGCATGTGAGTGAACTCGTACCATTCTTGCAGATTCTGCCTCCTCTCTGTATCTCTTACACGTGGTTTCTTTCTCCTTAATCTGTGGAAATAACTTTTAGTAAGTTTTGAAACTATCAATTCAAATTTGAACAAAATCTGCGTCTTTGGAATATGAAGCTGCCATTGCAAGGAAAAATAAGAGGAAAGAAAAGAAAATACCTTCTTTTCAAATTCTGCTCTATCTACAGCTCGGTGGTTGACGTGTAGATTGAATTCCTGCACTTCTGTCAGGGGCTTCCGTGCTTTCTCAGGAACTGGAATAGGATCCCTGCAGACGGATGGGGCATGTTAAATTCTTACTGCTTTCAGATGAACTTTATCAACCCAAAACAACGGAAATACGTCAGTTTCTTACTCTTCCAAGATAGGCTGAGCCTTAAATACTCTCCTCTGAGCTTCTTCCATCTCCATCCTCTTTCTTTCTTTTATTTCTCTCTGAATCTCCTCTTCATGCCTCATTAGACTATCCAATTGAAAAGGGTCTGGTTTTGTGCATGGCTTTGGCTCGGGTTTTGGTGGAATCTATAGGAGAGAGAATGTTAAGCATAAACCAAAGGCCTCATCAATAAATCGAATGAGATGTAAGGTGCACATATATATAGAATTATATGCATACCACGGGATAATCAGTTGTATAAGGATATGGACACGCTCTTGGAATCCTAGCCCTCTCCTCTTCCAGCTGTTTCTGCGTGAGTTCCATGACTATCCTTTTCTCTTTCTCTGCTCCTCTGTCCTGATGAGACAAAGGTAAATGATATGAATAAAAGAACTATGACAATCTTGGAGAACTCTATTAATAAAAAAAAGAAATAACTTACCTCGGTGTGGAGATGGAATGGATTAGGTGTAGTATTTCTGGATAGAGGCTTGTCGTAATGAGGTTCTGATTTTATTGAAAGCTGATGAAAACAGCAAAGAAGAAAGAAATAAGAGAAATCAAGAAAGAAACTAGTTTTTATATTAATAAAAGGAAAAAAAAAATACCCTTTCTATGTTACCTTGTCTAATAGATCAACAACTGCAGCTGGTTGCGGAATCCTTTTATCTATGGCAAAGTGAAATTCCTGTGGTACAGTAACCTGCTTCTTCAAATTGCAGAACATTCCCATCTCCCCTTTACTTTCAAATATCTGCAAAGTTTATAGAAAATAGTGAATCACTGTAAACAAAGGACGAATATTGTAATTCAATTATCAATGGACAGTTGAATGTCCTACCTTTCTATTCAAAGGTCTTGCCTTGAACAGCGGAATTTTTTCAATTTCTTCTTTCTCTAGTTCATCAGAACTTTTGATCTTGGGAGGACGTGCTCTCAGAGATGTTTGAAGTAGGGGCGATTTTGGTGCTGTAAGATGAGGTTTCCATTGATGATTCTGCAAGCATGTGCCAAGTTTTTCTCATTATAAAAAAGACACGTCAATAGAAAATTATCTTTGGTTCCTCATACATTCTATTAAATAAAGCTGCAAATTCACAAGTACCAGTGCAGATTCTGTAGAGGCCACAGTAGAAGTTTCTGCATTCTGATTGGCCCGTAACATTGTTTCCAATTGGAATTCCTGTATAAGTCACAGCATTGTCTAGTAATCTGGATAAACAAATATAATATTCATTTTTCTTGTTTTTGTTCCAGCAATGAGGGAGTTACCTTAAATTCCGGAGGCTGGGGTGTACTTCTTTGCAATGCTGGTAAAGTTGGAGCTTGCAAAATCTGAAATATGAAGAAGAATTAGATGAATTGTATAAATACATGCCCACATTTTAAATAGTTTCTCTCTCAGATAGAGGAACTGAAAACTTTACCTTTCTATTTACCGGACGAGCCTTGAACTTGGTAATTTTTGCCATCATTTCTTCCTCTAACTCAGCTGAACTCTTAATTTTCACTGGACGTAGCCTCTGAGATGTTTCAAATTCAGGCTCCTTAGGCCTTGTCAGTGTTAGTTTAGGCTTCCTCTGCATTGCTCCAGTAGCATTGTTCTGAAAATTTTAGTAGATAAATTTAGAGGTTAAAACTTTAACATTCAATTGTTGTGATGCTTTCTTGGAGAGAAGATGAAATCTAAGTGCAACTTACCTGTGAAAAAGAACTGCTTATGCAAGGCAGAGATGTTTCCCTGGTGCTTGATTGGAACTTCTTCATCATCTCGGCCATGGAAACAAATGGGGCAGTAGCAGGTTCTCGACTGTATATCTTCAAGTGTATAATGTATGTGTCAGCATTTCAATTATGTTTAGATCATGAACAGAATTCATACATAGATGGTCTAAAATATAAACCTTTCGGTCTACTTTACGAGCTTTAACAGTTGAAGAGCAGAAGCCAGTAAGGTTGCTGCTGATAAGGCCAGATCTTGTTTTGTGGGGTAGATTTGAAGGTTTGTTGATGTTAAGTATCTGAAAGTAAGATGTAAAACAGAAATATTCATATAGAAGAAATTTAGAAAAATACATTAACAGGGAAAAAGTATTAACTATCCCACCTGTCGAGATTTCCCTCCTTCCAGTTTTTGTTTCTTTACTGCTTGGTCTTCTTGAGCAAAATTAGGAGCCCCAGTACCATTCTTCACATTTGTCTCTCTGCAGAAGTAAGGAGAGAGGACTAAGAAAGAGAGGAAGGGGGACAAAAGAGTACTCAACTAAGAAAATACACAAAATATATCACACCTTTTAACACTGGTAGCTGGTTTATTGCTTTTGATTTGTGATTGTAACCTGTCCTTTGGCTTAAGTGCTGAAGGATTTCTAAGCAAACTAGCTATTTTTTTGGCAGTCTGAGCCTTCTTGGAATCAGTCTTCTTGGCTTGTGCGGCTGGAGTGCAAATTATTTTTTCTAATATAATAAAAAAAATCTTAGTTGTTGGATGCAATTTCAATGGAGAATCAAATGTGTTGTTACGCATGGATAAAACTGAGTGACAAACCTTGGAGAGGTTTTTGAGGGGAAGAAGAGGAATCTTTGCCTGCTAAAATGCTGAAATCACAAGCATCAAAACAGATAATCAATGAGACAAAAAATAGCTTCTCTCATCTCTATTTATCCAATTATCAACTGGCTATTGCAATTTTTTTAGAATGATGATCGCACCTTCCAATTTTCTGAGTGCATGCACCTTCAGCATCTACTGTATTCTTATCATCTGAGTTCTGAAATTTGGTTTAATATAATGAGAAACAAATCCCAAACCAAGAACTGGGAGATCAACAAGAGATCTGTTGATCAGGTAAAATTTACATACCATATTAAGAAGAATTGTACCAGCTTCTTCCTTAGGTATAGCAGGAATGAGATCTACTTTTGGCCTGATACAAACAGGTGTATTAGTGCATCTTCTTTAAAGCATTAGAATGGACAAGCAAAACACAATGAAATAGGCAAACAGAAGTCATTGTCCAAATATTCAGCTTGTCTTACTGACTTTGTTTGATTTTGTGGCTCTGAAGATGAATCCTCTACAGTATTGGATGTAGTTGATTCTAATGGCTCTACTGCCTGTGACAGTTCAAAGCTTTACTCATTTAGCCAATCATAAATGTCGAGCCACATAAAATAAAATAAAAATAATAATAACTTCACCTTCTCTGGCTGCTCCTCTTCATCAAAATCGCAGAGACTCTGAAGTTGAACTGATCTGCTAGACTTAATTCTTGGCATAAATGCTGCATAAATTCAAGGCATATGGGAAAACAACATGAATTCACATTTCAAAACAAATTGCATAATACGAAACGTGACAGTGTACTATCTCAATCTGACTTTCATCATTCTCTTATCATAATAGTTTGCGAGGAATCTATTTCCTTGATTATTCAATCACGTGGCCCCACCGCCGTTTCATAATTTACCACTTC